GCACTATTTATATGGCGTGTCATGTGAGGTGTTCACGAATCACAAGAGTCTTCAGCACTTGTTCAAGCAGAAGGAGCTAAATTTGAGGTTGAGAAGGTGGTTGGAGCTATTGAAAGACTATGATATTACCATCTTATACCATCCGCAGAAGGCTAATGTAGTGGTCGGTGCATTAAGTAGAAAGTCGGTCAGCATGGGCAGTCTTGCATATATTCTGATCGGTGAGAGACCGCTTGCCTTGGATGTACAGGCTTTATCCAATCAGTTCGTGAGGTTGGATGTTTCTGAGCCCAGCCATGTGTTAACTTGCACAGCCGCTCGTTCTTCATTATTTGAGCGTATCAGATATCGGCAATATGATGATCCTCATTTGCTTGTCCTTAGAGAAACAGTGTGGCACGGAGGTGTCAAGCATGTTACATTAGGAGATGATGGAGTTTTGAGGATGCAGGGTCGAGTTTGTGTGCCTAATATGGATGGACTTCGAGAGTTGATTTTAGAGGAGGCCCGTATTTCCCGGTACTTTATTCATCTGGGCTTTGCTAAGGTGTATCAAGACTTGCGGCAGCATTATTGGTGGAGGAGGATGAAGAAAGATATTATTGCATATGTGGCTCGGTGTTTGAATTGTCAGCAGGTAAAGTACGAGCATCAGAGACCTGGTGGTTTGTTCCAGAAGATTGAGATTCCTGAGTGGAAGTGGGAACGTATCACTATGGACTTCGTTGTTGGACTCCCATGGACTCAGAGGAAGTTCCATGCAGTGTGGGTTATTGTCAATAGGCTGATCAAGTTAGCACATTTCATTCCTGTGGCAGTTTTCTATTCTTCTAAGAGGTTAGCCGAGATCTATATCCGGGAGATATTTCGTCTTCATGGTGTGCCGGTGTCTATCATTTCTGACCGAGGTACGCAATTTACCTCACATTTCTAGAAGGCAGTTATGCGTGAGTTGGGAACACGGGTCGAGTTGAGCACAGTATTTCATCCTCAGACGGACGGGCAGTCCGAGCGTACTATTCAAATTTTTGAGGATATGCTCTGAGCTTGTGTTATTGACTTTGGAGGCTCGTGGGATTAGTTCTTGCCTTTAGTTTAGTTTGCCTACAATAATAGCTACCAGTCGAGCATCCAGATGGCTCCTAATGAAGCTTTATATAGTAGGCGGTGTCGGTCGTCGGTTGGGTGGTTTGAGCCGGGAGAGGCTCGGTTTTTGGGTACGGATGTACATGATCCCTTGGACAAGGTTAAGATCATTTAGGATAGTCTTCGTACAGCTCGGTCCACGCAAAAGAGTTATGCCGACCGTAAGGTTCGTGATGTGGCATTCATGGTTGACGAGCGGGTGTTGCTTCGGGTGTCGCCTAAGAAGGGCGTGATGAGATTTGGAAAGAAGGGCAAGCTAAGCTCTAGATTCATTGGTCCTTTTGAGATTCTTGATCGAGTGGGAGAGGAGGCTTACAGACTTGCGTTGCCGCCGAATCAGCCGTGCACCCAGTGTTTCATGTATTTATGCTTCGGAAGTATCACGGCGATCCATCCCACGTGTTAGATTTCAGCAATGTCCAGTTGGACAAGGACTTGTCCTATGAGGAGGAGTCGGTAGCTATTCTAGACCGACAGGTTCGTCAATTGAGATCGAAGAGTTTCCCTTCTATTCGTGTTCAGTGGAGAGGTCAGCCTGCCGAGGCAGTTACCTGGGAGTCCGAGTCCGATATACGGAGCCGATATCCCCATCTTTTCTCCGACTCAGGTACTTTTCTTATGTCCATTAGAGGACAAACGATTGTTTTAGAGGTGCAGGATGTGATGACCTTTTTGAAAGTAAATTCTGTGTTCCCAAGCCTTATAAACCTCTTTTTGTGTCACCTCGATTTACGTGCGCAGTCCAGGCGTGTTTCCGGAAAGCTTTTATGTGAAATCCAAGTAAAATAAGGAAATAGGCCATTAAAATAGATTAAAGTTGACTTCGGTCAACATTCTTGGTAAACCGACCCGTGATCCGACGGTCTCGTAGGGTCCGTAGTAAAATTTGGGACTTGGGCGTATGCCCGGAATCGAATTTCGAGGTCCCAAGCCCAAGAAAAGAATTTTTAAAGAAAATTGTTTGCTAGAAAATATAAAGGCTTTTAGAAGTGAATTGATATAATTTGTTGATGGTATCGGGCCAGTATCTTGGTTCTGGAGCCCGGTACAAGTTTAAAATAATAATTAAGTTGAATCTGTGAAATTTGGTAAAGTTCGGAATTGATTTGGTATAAATCGGACGTATAGTTCAGAAAATAGAAATTTTGATGTTCCTGAGTAATTTTATGAATTTGAGGTTTAATTCATGGTTGTTGATGTTATTTTGATAATTTGATCGCACGAGCAAGTTCGTATGATGTTTTTGGACTTGCTTGCATGTTTGGTTTGGAGCCCCAAGGGCTCGGGTGAGTTTTGGATAGGCCATTGAGTGAAATTGGACTTAGGAGCAGCAGCTGGTGTGTTGCAGGTCTGCAGGCTTCGCAATTTCGAAGCCTGGCTCGCAAATGCGAGCTCGCAAATGCGAGCTCGCATTTGCGAAGAAATATCGCAATTGCGAAGATGGGCTGGGCAGGGAGACCTTCGCATTTGCGAAGCTCAATGTCGCAAATGCGACCTCAACAGGTACCACAATTGCGAACGGTAGTTCGCATTTGCGAAGAAAGCAAGGCAAGCCTACCTTCGCATTTGCGAAGCCCGGGCCGCATTTGCGAGTTCGCATTTGCGAACCTGACATGGCAAATGCGATATCTGCACCTGTGCAAATTATAACTTAGACGAAATTTCTTCATTTTCAAACTCTCTCAAACCCTAAGCTCTCTTGGGCAATTTTCCAAAGAAAAGTTCTTCTCCAAATCATTAGCAAGTCATTTCTAACTCATTTTCTTCAATCTATATCATCTTTTTACATGATTTCAATTCAAAATCAAGGGTTTTCATGGGGAAAATGGGTGTTTCTGGGTAGAACTTAGGATTTTAATATTTTGGGGATTTTGGCCTCTATTTGAGGTCCGATTTCAAAATAAATTATATATTTGAGTTCTTGGGTGAATGGGTGATCGGGTTATGATTCGAACTTCGGGTTTTGACCAAGCGGGCCCGGGGTCGATTTTTGACTTTTTGGGGAAATCATTAGAAAACCAATTATCATGCATTAGAATTGGTTTATTTAGTATTTATTGATATCCTTAAGTAAATTGTGGCTAGGTATAAGCAGTTTGGTGGTGGAATCAAGAGGTAAAGCGGTAGTTGAGGCTTGATTGTGTTCGTTGCATTGAGGTAAGTGTTTGGTCTAACCTTAGCTCGAGGGAATAGGAGTCTTGGTCTTATTTTTATGTGTTAATTATTGAGTACGACGTATAGGTGCGGTGACGAGTATCTATACATTGGTGTCAAGCATGCCCGTGAGTCTTATACTATGATTGTTGTGACCCCGTTATGTATTGTCCATGCTTAATATGATGATTTCTAATGTTGAACAAGGCTCATGGAAGTATTATTGGTAATTGAACATTGTAGAGCATTGGCTCAAGTTGAGAATTGTGTTGTGAACTAATTGTGGAAAAGAGAAGAGGTTTATGATATTGTTTCCCTTCCCAGGATGTTATTGCTTATGATATTGCTTCCCTTGCCGAGATATTATTGTTATACTATTGTTCCCTTGCCGGGATTCTACTGTGATTTTATTGATTCCCTTGCCCGAATTGCTTTGTAATTGTTGCTTGGGTAAGGAAGAGTGTAAAAGCACGAAGGGTGATGTCGTGCGTGATATTTGTGAGTGAGTGTTAATGCACGAAGGGTTATGTTGTGCCGATATTGTAAATGTAAAAGCACGAAGGGTGTGTTGTGCCATGATATGAGTGATAATGCACGAAGGATAATTCCGTGCCATGATTTTGTGAGATAAAAGCACGCAGGGTGATGCCGTACCGAATATATTGATTCTTATGGTGAGAACGAGAGTAAAAGCATGAAGGGTGATGACGTGCACTTGTTATTGTTCTCCTTATTTTATTGTTCTGTATGCTTCCTTATTGAATTTCTGTTTGTACATGATATTCCCCCTAGCATGTTTCCTCTTCCCATCATTAAATGCCAGTTTATGTTATTATTACTTGTCGCATATGATTTAACTGCACATGTTTATTTGGTAGTCTTGTCCTAGCCTCGTCACTACTTCGCCGAGGTTAGGATCGACACTTACCAGCACATGGGGTAGGTTGTGCTGATACTACCCTCTGCACCGTGTGCAGATCCCGGTTCTGGAGTATTTGGACCATAGTGAGGTTGCTGCCTTCAGTCCAGCGGCGGAGACCCGGGGTAGTACTGCAGACGTCCGCAAGCCTTGGCATCCCCCTCTATCTTTTCCATTCCGTTTTTATGTATTTCAGAGATAAACTTGTATTTTCACTCAGACAGTTGTTTGTAGTATTCGTAGATGGTCTGTGACATTGTGACACCAATTCTGGGTAGAGTTGTATGTTGGATTATGTACTAGTATTTTGTTACACTATTAGATTTCGTCTTCCACTTTTCTGTTTATTATGATTATTCCACTGTTGATCACATGTTAATTCGTAACTGTTAAAAGTTAAGGAAAAAGGGTAATAAAATCTATAATACTCGGCTTGCCTAGCTTTCACGAGTAGGCGCCATCACGACTCCCCAGGGTGGGAAATCCGGGTCGTAACAATATCGCTGCGGCGGGCAGCCCGATCCATATACGATGCGGCGTGCAGCCCGATTTTATATATATATATATATATATATATATATATATATATATATATATATATATATATATATATATATATATTGCTGCGGGATAAAAATGGTGAAAGACAACTCAATTTTGCGAAGGGGAACTTATATACTTTCTGATCCAGGGATAACACACCTACGGTCCTTCTAACCGCACCTGCGGTCTCGCAGCTGCGTTACACCTCACGCACCTGCGACTTCTGGCCTTCTCTCATATGGCCGCATCTGCGGCTGATCTAACGCTTCTGCAATCTCGCAACTGCGGTTCCCAATCCGCAGGTGCGGTTATGACAGGGGAATCAGCTTCGGTTGCTCATTTCCAAAGCCAAACTTTTCCGAAAATCATCTGAATTTATGTCGAGGCCCTGGGGACCTCAGCCAACAATACGAACAAGTCATATACCACTATTCAAACTTATACCAATCTTCGGAACACTCAAAATAACATCTAATTACCAAAACACCATCGGATTCAAGCCTAAGGATTCCAAAACTTTCAAATTCCGCTTTCGATCAAAAAGTCTATCAAACCTCGTCCGAATGACTTGAAATTTTGCACACTCATCCCAAACGACACAACGGACCTCCTTCAATTTTTAGAATTTCAGTTCGACCCCTATATTAATATCTCCACTACCAACCGGAAAGCGCCAAAATTCCAATTTCACCAATTCAATCATAAATCTATCACGGACCTCTAAAATACATTCCGATCACGCTCTTAAGTCCCAAATCACCTAACGAAGCTATCCGAACCATTGGAATTTACATCTGAGACCTTTTTTACATAAGTCAACATCCGGTTGAGTTTTTCAAGTCAAGCTTACTCAAAAGAGACTAAGTGTCTTATTTCTCTTCAAAATCACTTCGAACCCGAACCAACCAACCCGATACCACATAATATAGTTGAACAAGACATAAAGAAGCAGAAATGGGACCGGTCGGGCCGTTACATACTCCCCCTCTTAAACAAACGTTCGTCCTCGAACGGATTAAGAAATATACCTGAAGTCTCAAATAGGTGAGGATATCTGCTCCGCATCTCCCGCTCGATCTCCCAGGTAGCCTCATCCACGGGCCGACCTCTCCACTACACTTTCACTATAAACTACATTGAACCTCTATTAAAACTGTTAGAAAGTTATTTTTCAAAGTATTTTACTGAAATTGGAGCTTAACGAGATGATTTGATTTGTATCCTGTTTTGGAAACATACAGTACCCGTTGTGGTGCTATGACGTGGATTACGTGATTTCTTACTACTCAGTCTTTATTTACTTTTATTACATACTGAGTTGGCGTACTCACATTACTCCCTGCACCTTGTGTGCAGATTCAGGTATTTCTAAGCTCGGTAGCAGGTTCATCGGAGTTAGCAAGGTAGCTGCTTGGCGATCGCAGCCCTGCTTTTCTCCCTTCTTATCCTCCCTTAGTGTATTCTGTGATTTTTCTGACCATGTTGGTCTTGAGGTTATCAAATAGTTGTAGTAGATGCTCATGACTAGTGACACCCTGATGTCGGGCTTTCTTTTCGCATTGTTGTTTTGTTTTAAACACTATATAAAGGTTTATTGTTAAATAGATTTGATTTTATCCTAAGAATGGAAAATAATATTTGGTTTTGGGTTTGTCGGCTGGCCTAGTTCCATGATAGGCGCCATCACGACCGGGTTGGTTTTGGGGTCGTGACAAAATTTTTATATAAATTTAACTCTACTTATCTTGGCCCAAGTAAACTTTGAGCAACTTGAGTCATGATTCAATTTTAATTCAGCCTGTTTGAAATTTGATCCAACCTATCCATTCACCTTTATTTGTGCCAACTAAATTTCTTGTTTTAGGGAATTTTAATAGCTAAGTTGGTTAGTTACCAAAACTTTTACCTTTGTTTGTGAGGTTCGACTTTTTTACCTTATAATTCCTTCCCATTTTCCCTTCCCTTACCCCTTATATATAACTTCTAAAAAAATTAGATTAAAAAGAATTGCTTGCTTCAATATCACAAATTTTACCTTAGGTCTCGCATAATCAACTTTAGTTGACTGAATAGCCTGGTTGGCCAAGCTTCTCAAGAGGTCAAAAGTACTTCTTTTCCTGAAAGCACTTTTTTTTTTCGAACTTGAGCTATTTGGCCAAGCTTTTTTTTGTTTTGGGAAGAAGCAGAAAAAAAGTAGCTTCTTCCCAAAAGCAGAAGTAGGAGCAGTTTTGACTTTTTCTAATCAAAAATACCCTTAACAAAATATAGTATATACCAAAATAATTGTTAAATCTAATACTTAGGTATAAGTATTTCTTCTTGTTTTTAGGATAGCTTTATAATATATAGTAACTTTAGGGGTGAATGCTTTTATATTTGTGAATGATTTTTAATATATTTAACTTATATTAAAATAATTAAGTACTTTTTAATTTTATTTCATATTTTATTTAAAAAAATGAAATAATTTAATTATTGTCTGTAATAACAAATTTTGAGATTATTGAAATGCTTATAATATTAACTATTAAGTAAATCTATTCATGTCCTTATTCGTAATTTGATACTTAAAAGCACTTTTTGAAAAGCTTGGCCAAACACAAATTATTGCTCAAAAGTGCTTTTCAAAGTGATTAGCTAAACACAAATTGCTTCTCTCCAAAAGTACTTTTTTCAAAAGCACTTTTTGCTTTTGAAAAAATCACTTCCAAAAATAAGTTGATTTCTTCATCTTGGCCAAACAGACTAATGAGAGTGTGAAACTCCTTTCAAATTGTGACAAATCTTGGCTTATATCATATAATGCAACTTTTATTAACCGAAACCTCATTATTTTATTAATTCTATTAGTAATCTTTGTTTAGATTGTCCTTTTGGATTTTACTTCTTTTTGGTCAATCAACATTTATTAGCATAAAATCTTCTTTAGATTCAGTTAAATATGCTTAATTCAGAAGGTTACGTTAATTTAGTATTATGTAAGAAAGCCAGTTTAAAACTCTTCTACCCCTCTATATAACATCTTTCTCAAACTAGCAAAGGTGATAGGTGCTCAAAAACTTAAGCTTCATACATCTAGTAAATCAAGTAAGTTTATTACTTAGTGCTTTCTTGTTTTGTTAACTAATTTACATTAGCAGGTTGTATTAATTAGTGATTTGTTTGTTTAAGTAATATTGTATTTACATATATATCCTAACATTCATACGTATAAAACTAAATTCATGTATTCAGGTAATCTTGATGGATCAAAGAATTATTCGACAAACTTTCCTGGTACTATATCTTCTTTTGAGTTATGATGGGGTTCAAGGAAAAATCAAGCTATCCAAAGTAGAGGAGTTAGAGTTGGAAAAACAACTTAAACTTATCAACAAACCGTCAATCAAAATAATTAAGGTATATATTTTGGGCAAAAGTCATTGTACTCATGCTTTTCTTTCTCTTCTCTCTTTTGTAAATTTTTTTTATGCACAACTGAAATTATATATTGGATAACAAGCTACTGTAATCAAGATTACTTATTTCATGAAGTTTTCGTTCTCAGACTAAATATGGAGATACATATAATTGTGTGGATTTTTACAAACAACCAGCATTTGATCATCCAATGTTAAAATATCACGATTTCATCCGGAGGCATGTTTCTCCTCTCTCTCTATCTATCTCTCTCTATCTCTAATTTACTTTCAACTTTTATATTGTTGACACAAGATTTAAGTTTTGGATGGACAGATGAAACCTACTTTAGGTAGGTCAAAGCAGAACTCAAATGCCTCCACAACTAATTGGTCATCGATGATATGGTCAAAAGATGGTGGTTGTCCTTTTGGAACAGTTCCTATCAAAAAAATTACTAAAGAAGATCTTGTTAGACAAATGAATATGCCACCACCAGAAGATGTCACATACGATACTGAGTTGACTACTGTAAGAACATGTTAAACCAATTCACTGCTTTGCCTTAGCTTGAAAAATAGATTCATGATTTCATTTATTAAATCTAATATGTTATGAATCATTAAACGTATAATAATGAAAAAGAGGTCACTTAAATAGATTTATATTTGTCCGCCGTTGCAGCAAATCTCATACAAGTTATTGCTTTTACACAGACTTTCAACAAAAGTGATTCAAAAAGAGGATACATATCTTCTTCAAAAGGATACAAGGTACATAAATATGAAAAAAAATTATTATTTTTAATTTTGTCATTTCATTTTCTAGTTCTATGTTTTCTCTTTATGGCGGTTCAATATCAAGAAAAGGATCATGGTGCAAAAAATTTGTTTATAATTATTTTCTGTTGTTTGAACAAAAACTGCAAAAGGTTATCGTTATACCATGTAGTCCAACACATTAAGAAGGCTCTTTTATGTGTTGCTTATCAAATTGTGCTTCAATGGTCTCGACTTTTGCTTCTTTAAGCTTAGGTTCTATTATACAGAATTACAAAATAGTAACCAATAATTAATAAACTTAAAATGATTTCCTCCTCTGTTTTCTAATCACATATGTCTTAAGATAAAGTTATAGATTTTGATATATCCTATCATGAGTTAACAAATATTCCATTCTTATATTCAGCTTGCAATAGTTCGAATTCTAAAAAATCCTAATGACAAGTTTGTGGGAGCTGGAATGACGCCTAGTATATGGAAACCTTATGCAGAAGGTCAGCAACATAGTGCATGTCGCTTGATAATTAAGAAAGGATCAGACATTTTACAAGTTGGTTGGCGAGTAAGTTTAAAAATTTGTTTATTTGCTGATTTAATTATTTTACTTCTGATAGCTCTATATAATTTGTGACGACTCTCAATTAGCTCTCATTAATTTATAATGATATTATGATAAACATATTTCTTGTTTTAGGTAGATCCAACTCTATATGGGGATAATAAGACTAGGTTTTTTGTGCATTTTCAAGTAAGTTATCTTATGTATTCTAATGACTTCATTTTACTGTTATTAAACTAACATTTTCTTCAGTTAGTTATTTACTTCAATTGAAAAGAGTTCATGTATAGTTTACGTTTTCTAGGCTGGTAATACACATTGTTTCAATATGCTATGCCCTGGATTTGTACAAGTAAGCAATGAGATGCCTGCTGACATGACTTTCGATACGATTTCACACCGTGGAGATAAGTATTCATGGGAGTTCGCAATGAACATCCATCGGGTACATTTTATTTCCTTATGTTCTATTATTTTTTAAAGTTTTTGAAAGCTACAAAGTACTAATATCTATATATATATATATATATATATATTTATGCCTTAAAGGATCAATCCAATGGAAACTGGTGGGTTTTAGTTGATGAAACTTATGAACAAGTTGGTTTTTGGCCTCAAAAGATTTTCACTAGCTTGGCAAGCTTTGCTGATAACGTTGAATGGGGAGGCGTCGCATATAACCCACCAGGTGTGCGTGAACCTCCAATGGGCTCAAGTTATTTTCCCTTTGGATACTCCAATTATGATGCTTATTGTAGGAGACTTTACGTTCTAAACGATGAAGGCACGACAATAAATGTAGATAAGACGAACATATATCTCGATGATTATCGTTTGTATCGAGTTCTGGATTTTCCACATATAGGACCTGGAGAGTTCAAACATTGTGTATTTTATGGGGGACCGGGAGAGAGTTTTCAAGTCTAAATCCAGTTACTTACTATCATGATAATATTTAGTTTCTATGTCAAAAAAATATGAAGAATGTTTTTCCATGTCATATTTGGAAGAATGAACTTTGATTCCTCTAATTCTTTTTCCTTTTAATTGTTTTTGCCGATTTTCCTTTGTTACCAATTATTGACATATGGTCTACCTGCAATCTGTAAAGTAGTAAATAAGGCCGTACAACTATTTGTATGATATCTGTCTACAAGTCTCTACGAGTACATAAGTATCATAAAGGTCAGGATTGGGTCCCGCCATACCAATCAATACATGTCTTAATTATATTGACTAAATAAGAAACTCCGGAGCAAATAGAGCGCACCAACACCTTCTGCTGAGCTGATAGCATACTTTGAGGACTCTCAACCTGTCTATCGGGGCCTGCGGGCATAAAACGCAGCGTCACCAGGAAAAAGGGATAATCAGTACAAATAGTGTACTGCGTATATAACGAATGAAAATCAGTAAATAAAGTCATGAGAGAAACATGGAGTAAAAGACTCAACATGTATGTCTCAATAGCTTTGCGAATCATTTAATATTTATAATGTCACGCATATGCGTATAAATGTCATACCATGCATAGGTATATGCGTTCATAACATCATCAAGCCTCTGTGGGCATTCAATCATATCATCTCGGCCACTGTGGTCAAAATCATTGTAACGACCCGGCCGGTCATTTTGAGAATTTAAGATCCGTTCAGCGGCGTAAGGTCTGGAACAGCTTCATAATATGAGAGTCAAATTGGAAGAAGGAATCTAGTTTTGGGAGTTTAAGCGGTGAGAATTTGAGCGGAATTGGACTTTTCAGTAAACGGCCCCGGAATAAATTTTTGATAATTCCAATAGCTTCGTATGGTGATTTTGGACTTAGGCGCGCGTCCGAAATCATATTTGGAGGTCCGTAGGGTATATTGAGGCATTTCGGCGAAAGTTGGAAAAGTTGAAGTTTGCAAAATGGAGAAGTTTGACCAATAATTGACTTTTGCGGTATCGGGGTCGGAATGAGATTCCAAGAGTTGGAGCAGCTCTGTTATGTCATTTTGGACTTGTCTGCAAAATTTGGCGTCATTCCGGAATGATTTGATAGGTTTCGGCACGAGTTTAGAAATTTGAAGATTTAATAGTTCATAAGTTCGTTTTATAGTTTGATTCGTTGTTTCGGCGTTGTTTAATGTGATTCTTAACCTCGAGCGAGTCTGTGTTAGGTTATGTGACTTGTTTATGTGTATAGACGGGGCCTCGGGTATGTTCCGGGTGGGCCACGGGTCATTTTTCCCATTTTTGGAACTGTTGTTTTCTGCTTCTGGTACCCTCATTTGCGATCACGAACAGCCTTTCGCGTTCGCGGTTCCTTGTTGCTGACCACCTCGAAATCCTTCTTCGCGTTCGTGTCCAACACTTCAAGTTCGCGAAGCCCTGCATTTTCCTTCTTCGCGTTCCCGTCCTTCCCTACGCGTTCGCGTAGGTTCCTGCCCTTCTTCTCCGCATTCGCGAGCTCATCATCGCGTTCACGATGAGCAACCTGGGCAGCCTTAACTTTTCTTCTTCGAGAATGCGGTCCTCTCTTCGTGTTCGCGATGCACAAATGTCTGGCAGACAGAATATATTCCAAAATCGAGGGTTTCACCATTTTGTCATATTTTGACTTGTAGACCTCGGTTTTGAGCGATTCTTGGTGGGTTCTTCAGATAATTCGAATGGGTAAGTGTTCTTCACTGAGACTTAAATATATTACATGAATTAGTCTTTATTTTTATCATTTAAATTGTGTTTTTAGTTAGGAAAAAATGTTGGTTTTGAAGAAAATTTTCAAAACGGAATTTCATAATTTGTGGGACGAAATGGTATTGGAATTTGGTAATTTTTGTATGGTTGAACTCCTATTGGAGTGAGTATTCGGATTTTGAAATATTTGTCGGGTTCCGAGGTGCTGACCCGGGGGTCGACTTTTGGACCAATTGTTAGATTTTGTTAAAGATTGAAACTTTAGAATCCGGAATAGTTTCTTATGTGTTTTATTTGTGCTTTGAAGTTAATTTAGTTAGATTTGAGCCGTCCGGAGAACTTTTCACCCGAGAAGTGCGTTTTAGAGTATCGGTATGTCGTCTTTGAGGTAAGTATCTTGCCTAACCTTGTGTGGGGGACTTCCCCCTAGGATTTGAGTCTTCTATGATGATTGTAGTTCGTGTACGCGAGGTGACGAGTGCGTGCTCGGACTTATCTGTGAAAAATTGGTCTTCTTAGAGTTATTAGGTCCTTATATTCACTGTGTTTGAATGTGTCCTTGACATGACTGAGTTTCCTATTTGCAAGTTTCACATCTACATGCTTGATTGGAAATAATTGCTCATGATTCACTCTTACTGCTTAACTGACTCCTATTTGATTTAATTGAAGAATTTTGCCTCTCCTATTGTCATGCTATCTTTTCATAGTTTGTCTTATTTGAGAATCATTATAATCCTTTTGAAATTTTTTTTTAGTCTTAAGTGAAGCTAAAGATCATCTTTCCCTAATCGAATTGTCGAATATCCACGAAATTGTCCAACCTTAAAAGGAGTTAGATAACCTATATCTTTGTTGACTTGCCCTTATTTGGGGCTTCTAGACTCACGTTGATTTCATTGTTACTGACTTGTATATTGCGGGACCGTCGCTATACGTTAGTTTTCCCGTGTTGAATTGTTCCCTTTATGCTAGCATTCTTTTCTGTGCCTATTCCTTGTGAGCTGGTTCTGTTGTTTCCTTGCGATTTACAGTCCTTAAGTTGATTTACTTGTCTTACCTTGTAATATTGACATTTGTTGTTGTTTTATGTATTGCGGTGATGTACGAGCTTTCTGTTATGTTGTGACTATTGTTTCTGTTGGTTGTGCTGCATGTTTACTTTGGGACTACGGATCAGTATTCCGGGAGATCTCCTGCATATTTACTTTTGGGACTACGGGACTGCACCCGGGAGATCCCCCTGTACGCATATATCGATTTAGACTGTAGTGCGGGATACTGAGAGATCTCAGCACATATATTAAGGATACTAAGAGATCCTCGGGATACCGAGAGATCCCCAACATATATTGAGGATACTAAGAGATCCTCGGGATACCGAGAGATCCCCAACATATATTGAGGATACTAAGAGATCCTCGGGATACTGAGAGATCCCCGGGATACTGAGAGATCCCCGAGTATTTACATTTGGGACTACGGGACGATATCCTGGGAGATCCCCTATTAAAAATCATTGCGTTCTGAGTTGATGTTTCATTGATCCTATCCCCGTGCAAACATTATAGGTGTTTTTCGTTCTATTCCTTATACTTACTAGTCGGTACGAACTATGTTAGGACACTTGCACAAGAATACACGTGATTAATCACCCTTATCGGGTAGGAGGCTCTTGAGATTTCTGAGTATAGACGCACACCTTGTTATTTGCCTTCCATGAGAGAATTACTCTTTGAGGTACTTTAGTTGTCAGTATGATCAGGAGGTGTGTCGAGGGCACAGAATGCCAAGACCTAGGGTTCCGTTGTTGAGACCCGTATTGTAAGATTACGAGATGAGGTGTCACAGGGTGACTTATATTCGAAGGTTATCAAAATATTATATTTGAAAGCATTATCCTGAAAGGAACTCTTTTGAAAAGAACATTTATTTGAAGGAAGTATATTTCAAACCATTTTTATCACTTGAAAAGAGTTTGATTATTTGATTGATGCTCGAGGGTTAAGACTTAAGGTGAGAATTATCAAAGTGGTTGGGCTATGACTTGTCTTTACCGTATTTATGATTTCGGATTTCGACTGTCTCCTCGTTTACCTTTCCATGTTATCCTTATGGTGTTCCGCCGAATACTTGCTGTTTTTCTCTCCTTATTGCAATTACTGTATTGTTAGTCGTATCACATAATCTCTATATATATCATGTTCTATATATTAGACTAATAGGTGTCTTGACTGTTTCTCGTCACTACTCCAGCGAGGTTAGACTTGATACTTACTGGGCACCGCTGTGGTGTGCTCATACTACACTTCTGCACATTTTTTTTGTGCAGATCCAGGTATTGTTCGCTAGTGGCGGTGCAGATTCTTGCCGAGGAGACTCAAGGTAGTCCTGCTGCTGCATTCGTAGGCTTCAGAGTCACCTTCTTATTTTATATTCACATTGTTATACTTATTTCCATACGGTTGTGTTTAGAAGTTGTAGCGAAACTCTATAGAGCTTATGACTTGTACTACCGGATTTAGGGAAATTGTTCATTGTATAAGGGATTCATCTCAGAAGAATTCTAGCTGTTATTAGTTATTGTTGTTATTCTGTATTTTAGTAGGCTTATCTAGTCCTTAAGACTAGGTGCCATCACGAAACCCAGCGGAGGGAAAAATTGGGTCGCGACAATCATCAACGTATACCAGCTTATCAGGTGGTGGAGCGTATATAAGTGATCATGCCTAACAATGCCTTATAAAAAGGACAAGCGGTCGTTACAAATATAATCTGAGTATTTAGCCCAGAGTTGAATCTCACAGGGAACTAACCTACCAATTACTCTTGTCAGACTCATTGAATTCTTCGTAATCAACTTCCCAGATATTTTGAATAACAATTGGTGATATTTTTACTATCTATAACTGAATGAAAGTAAGTAAACTAAAAGCTAACTATGACTGGGTTGTAAACAAATAAGAGAAGGATCTAAGGTTGTGATTTACCCTATTGATGGAATCCCTTCTTGTTATGTTTCGCATAGAATTGCCTAATCATCTCTGTGAGCACGTGATTTTTGCCCTACATAAATTATTCCTAGAAATTCAAACAAAATGATTTCTTTCATTATGTTACAATTTTGTGGATTTTTGGTGACGTTTTAGGTTAATTGACTGCATTTTATTTGTGCATTTTAATTAGTAAAAACACAAAAAATACTTGGCATTTGCATTTAGGATTTAATTTCACATTTTAGGATTATT